AAGCACCCGTGAATGAGACTAAGTCATTCTTTCCGCTCTGATTTATTCATCCTCTTACTGTTTCATTCTTTCACCCATATTCATAGTCTCCCTCTCATATATAAAACAAATATGGGATCAAAAATGTTCATTTTGGGGCTGGCGCTGTGGCATCATAGGCTAAGCCTCCACCTGTGGTGCCAGCATCCGATATGGGTGCCAGTTCGAGTCCCGCCTGCTCCTCCTCTGATCCAGCTCTCTGCTATGGCCTGGGAAAGCAGCAGAGGATGGTCCAAGTGGTTGGGCCCCTGCACTCACATGGGAAACCTGGAAGAAGCTCCTAGATTCTGCCTTCGGATCAGCCCAGCTCTGGGCCGTTGCAGCCATTTGGGGAGTGAACCAGCAGATGGAAGATGGATCTCTCTGTCTCTCCCTCTCTGTAACTCTGCCTTTCAAATACATAAATAAATCTTTAAAAAATATTTATTTATGTATTTGAAAGGCAGAGTTACAGAGAGGAGAGGCATAGAGAGAGAAAGAGAGGTCTTCCATCAGCTGGTTCACTCTCCAGATGGCTGCAACAGCCGGAGCTACGCTGATCCAAAGCCAGGAGCCAGGCGCTTCCTCCTGTCTTCCCACATGGGTTCAGGGGCCCAAGGACCTGGACCATCTTCCACTGCTTTCCCAGGCCACAGCAGAGAGCTGGATCAGAAGTGGAGCTGCTGGGACTTGAACTGGCACCCATATGGGATGCTGGCACCACAGGCAGCAGCCCCACCTGCAGTACCACAGTGCTGGCCCCATTAAAAAAAATATTTGTAACAAGGCAAATTGTTCAAGTTTTCTGGTCCTTGATTTCTTGTGAGGCCATTGTATTCTGGAAGCTGTTAAGTAATATTTACCACAAGAATCTAATGTCTTTCCTGCCCAAACACTTTATTCCAACCTTGGAGGCTTTGAAGAACTCCAAATCGAGATTAAGTTTCCCCTATGCAATGAATGGAGCAAGTCCCATCATCACAAGGATTGGGGAAGGCCGTGGCTCTCCCTGTGATGAACCAACACACTGAAGAGGCTGGAAAAGCTAAGAGAGGCTCCAGGCAGGATGGACCTGCCCTTGTGGCACGCAGGAGAGACACCCCTTGTATGTCTCTTCTGCAATGTTAGAACCAACTCAGATGCTGGGACAGCAGGTGGCCAGTTCTTGAGCTTCATAAGCTTTTAGGAATGAAAATGTAGGAGCAAGAGTTATCTGCAGCTTCTCAAAGGACGACAAGATTTTACAGCATGATCGTACTCACATTACAAGGCGTCCTCCCAGTCTTAGTGAAGAAATGCTGGGAGTTACAGGCAGGGGCTTTGGGCTTGCCTTCCCTTCCCATCACTGAGCCAGGAGTAATGACACTGGATGAGTTATTTCCCACTTAGCAAAAGACCAAACTGTCCATTCCTCTTCCCACCATGGTTCAAAAAAAAAAAAAAAAAAAAACTAATTATAAAGCTATAATTTGCTATAATTTGTGTCCTCAAAAAGTTGATGGAAATTGCCAATTATGGAAAACTATGCATATATTTCAATTTTTTTGCACCAAAATAAACTTATCTCTTGGTTCCATTTTGCCATGAACTGTTTGAAGTCTTCACATATCTATTATGTCCCTGGAGGGTTTTTTTTCCTTTTTTTTTTTTTAAAGAATACTGGAAACATCTCAGAAGATCTTGCCAAAATTTGAATTAAATTCAAAGTCATCAAAGATAGAAAAATGCTAGCCAGCAATGTTATATGGAATTCTTGCACTTGAGAAAAAGCCAGAACATTACAAGGGGAGAGCTGTCAAGAACTGCTTTGATATGTTTGGAACACAGAAGCTTTGATTCTAATGTCTGTCTCATATGCTAAACACATGTGACCTTAACTAAATATCAGAAAAATCCATCATAAATTAATTGTCAACTTTAATGGTTTCCTCATTTCAGAATACATTTACTTTGCAACTTAATGCCTTAAGGCCAAGATTTTAAGGTGACTACATAGAGTTTAAATGAAAAACATACCAAGGTATATATGTCTGAACAGCCTCACTACCACATACCTACAGTTTCTCTGTCATTTTAACTCAAATTGGAAGGAAGGAATTTTGCACACATTTGGGTCTTAGGCTTCTGCTGTCACTGACAGTTTTTCATATTTGAGAGTCTCACCTCCACTTTGCCAAACAAAATTAACTGGACAAAAGCTTTTCAAAATGTCTCTCTTTCTCCCCTAGTTTCTGTCTATGTGTATCTAAGTGTGTGCACACTCATGGAAGTGTGTGTGTGTGTGTGTGCATATTTAAACATTTTCTCCAGAAAGAAAGTCCACAGAGAGACTTTGGGAAATGATTGTGAAAGTTATTTACAAATGGATGTTTCCTTTTGGGATTTTCTTTATTTTCAAGTTGATGATCCAAGTCCCTTTGACCAGCTTCCTCCCTGAACATCACCTTTAGGGCATGAGTTATCCTGGAAATGCATGTTCCCAACAAGCACCGAGAAAGAGACACGAGCAACAAAGAAAGGTTGCAGGCCGCTGGGTGGGAGGCCGACTGGCAGAGGGGGTCCCAGCCAGCGTCTGACTGGGGGCTCTGGCCTGCTGCTTCACCAGCCTCCTGTGTGGGTTGACAAAGACAAGGGGAGCTTCAGCTGACAACATGCTGGCTCTTACAAGAAAAACCAAGCAAGCTGAATCTTTTTTCAAGGAACATCTTTTTAAAATGTTTTCCCTCTCAAATGCGTATAAAAGCAATTACAAGGGGCTTTTGGAAGGGTATACAAAACCGTTTAGTACCTGGTTTAAGTCTGTATCTTAAATAATCTGAAGTAGAATATTCACAAAGATCAAATTTTCAAATATTCTTTCTCTGTGTCTAAATGTCTGCCCATGTTATTGCTAAATGGAAAACAGCAATGTAATAGTATAAGTGAACAGGATATAACACACACTTAGATTAAAATCATAATAATCTACTCTGAAAACAAATGATCATCCGGTTCCACTGGAAGGCCACCAGATTCCAGAACACACTGAACAGAGTTTATTTCAGGCCTTATTTTACACAGGAATAAGCTTCTACTTCCCTAAGGAGATATTTACCATAAAAACATTTTCACAAATGTTTCATGCACAGTTGAAAATAATGTTTCCTATTCAATATCTTTTTTTAATCATTGTAATATTTTGAAAAATATTATGCCTTGAAGAAGAAAGAATAGCTCAATCCCCAAATTCAGTGTGGTTTAGCGACACTGTTGGGCTTTACTCAAGGATCTGATTTAGTTCTGAGTCAGAACAAGCCAGAACCTGCAGCAATGACCTTGGGTTTGTCTCTGCCGTACAGGTTCCCAAGAACTTTCAGACACATCTTCTCCCTGAACTCACAATTACCCCCAAGAAACAGAGACAGGGCAGGTGTCAAGATCTCCCTTAGAGACGGTATTGAGTGCCATGGTCCCCACCTGACTTTCATTCTACCTAGGAGAGGATAAAAGGGCACCTGCCCAGTTGTCCAGGAGCAGTATCAGGGCACTGGCACTCCTGAATGCTTTGACAAGACAAGAACTGAGCATTGAGCACATACAATTGCTCTCTCTAATGACCTGGAAGCATAAGAAAAACTGTGAATAGTACAATTGTAAGGAAACATTTTCTCTTTAAGGTGTTTGTAATCAGTTATTCCCCAGGCATTCAACAGGTTAAAGAGCTGCTATTGAGTGGTATGCCTAGTTCGGTTGCCAGGATATTACGAGTGGAGAAAGAAGGAGGAGGGAAGGAGGGAGGGATGAGGGAGGGATGAGGGAAGGGAGGTGAGGGGAGAGGAAGGGGGAGGGAATATTGAGGGAGGGAGGGGCAGACTTACTCCAGAGAAGTCAACACTCCCCTAGAATATGCAGAACCATGAATGAGCAAGACCATGTCAGAGAGTGATCCATGCTACACGGGAAATGCACAGCAGGGTGGGACAGTGATGATTTTTGACTGAGTGGCCAGGGATGTGAAATTTGAGCTGAGGCCTTAGGAACTGGCCACCCTAGTAGAGCCGAGGTCCTGAAGCAGAAATGAGCTGAAGTGGAACGGGCCAGCACAGCCGGACATAGCAGCGAGGGAGAAATAGATAGAGGCTGTGGTCAGGTTGTGGTTGGGTATCATGGGGCATGCAAAGAGGTTGGAGTTTGTTCTGAGTACAAAGAGAAGCCTCTGGTGTGTTTCAAAATGGGATACGATCTGAAGTGTGGTTTCCAAAGCCCACTCTGCTTGCCATGTTATAGGAAGGCAGAGGCAGAAGGGAGCCCAGGCAAGCAATGAAAGTGGTCCTTGGCAAGAAGAGAGGAGAAAAGAAGCCTGGATCAGACGCATTCACAGTTGGGAAGCAGCACTAACGGGATTTCCCAAAGGACTAGACATGGGGAAAGGAGAGGGGCAGGCAGAAAGCAAGGTGACTCTTAGATCTTCCAACTTGAGCAATGGGTGACGGCAGAGCCAGCTACAGACTCGTCGGGTGAGAATCACAGATTGTATTTTGGACTTTAGGGTAGAGATATCTGTGAGAAATTCAAGAGGAAATATCTGCTTAGAAACTAGATTTGCGAGACCAGAACTTGCAGGAAGGAAGATGGGAATTTTGACTCTGTGAGTACATGGGTCATGGTTAAAGGCATGGTTCTAGATGGGAGCACCAGGGATAGAGCATGGCTAACTCAGAGAGGAGGGCTCCAACCTGAACCATGATCCTGGCTCAGGGGAAGGAGGAAACAGCCAAGAAATGAGAGCATTGCTTCCAGGAGAAAAACCATAAAGTTCATCTGCATGTTCATATTAATGCAAGTTCCCCCGGGAAGTCCATAAAACGGGATAAATCATCTCATCAATTGTTTCAGACACCGCTATTCTTCTATCGCACCTGATGAATAAAAATTCATTACTTAAGTCACTTACTTATTTGTACTTTTTTCAAGCTAGTACATTGCCCACTTTAAAATCTTACCTTTGCTCCAGTATCTCCCACTCCGCGTAAACCCATTGGTCCTGGGGGTCCTGGTAATCCTCGGGGTCCCTGGGATGACACAATAAGGATGACAGGGAGTATCATTGTACTGTGCAATGCTCAGAAAGGGAGGAGAGAGTGAGGGTAGGGGTGGGGAGGAAGGTCCACACTTACTGCCACACCGGGATAGCCATCTCCTTTGAGTCCTGGAGCACCCACTGGTCCCTGAGGGCCTTGAGCACCCTGAGTAAATTCCAACACCAAGTGATGTCATGAGACAATGAGACATAGCACAGCACCACTTCATACACCACAGGTGGGTCTGATCAGTATGAAGGGTCAATTTCAAACACACTGAGAAGAAATCCCACCACTTAAGGCGGCTTGTTATCTGCATGTATCTCTTACTTACCTGAATTCAGTGGCAATGAATGCATGGAATAAAGGTAGGAAATATACGTATATGAACCATAACAAAGTCCTCTGTAGGATGCACTCCATAGGATTGAGAAATGTCTGCTGCTAATATTTCAATTTTGAAAGTACAACTGCTACATAATAAATTAGGGAGAAGTATTAAATGGGAAAATTTAACGAGCACCATGACAAAAGAAGAGAATATAAAACAATATGCTGCGTGTGCAGTAAGGTAACTGTTTCCTACTTACAGTTAAGTGTATTGTCTTCAGTAATTACGGGGCCCAAAATACACAGGCAGTAAGTAAACCCAAAACAAAACAGATTAGTTTTTTAAAAAACAAGTTTTTGGGGGAAGAGATACCAAGAGATTGTGGTTCCTATCTTGAGACCTAGGGAAATAGTTATAAATATTCCTTTATAGCAATCATCTAAGGCATCAAAAACATTTAGGGGCAGCCATCAGCCCCCTGCAGAGAGAGCAGGAAGTGGTGGCTGTTGTCTTTTGGGCAACGGTTTTCCCAGAGGTGTAACTCTCTTACACGAAACAAAAGTAGTGCCAGGCTAAAGTTTTATGAAAGAGAATAAGAACAAGGTCTTTAGGACAGATGAATCTGGGTACATTCCCAACTAAAGGGAACTGGCCACCTAACAAAAGCAATTTTTTTCTGCTATTCCAACTACATTTAAGATTAAAACTATGGGGCTGGTGCTGCGCCATAGCGGGTAAAGCCGCCATCTACAGTGCCAGCATCCCGTATGGGCGCCAGTTCAAGTCCCAGCAGCTCCACTTCTGATCCAGCTCTCTGCTGTGGCCTGGGAAAGCAGTGGAGGATAGCCCAAGTCCTTGGGCCCCTGCACCTGCGTTGGAGATCTGGAAGAAGCTCCTGGCTCCTGGCTTCATATCAGCACAGTTCCAGCCATTGTGGCCATCTGGGGAGTGAACCAGTAGATTGAAGACTTCTCTCTCTGTCTCTACCTCTCTCTGCCTCTGCCTTTATGTAACTCTGCCTTTCAAATAAATTAATTAATTAAGAAAAAAGATTAAAACTCTAAATGTTCCAGCTGAGACCCACCCCAAAATAAGAGGCACATTTCTCTCCGTGCTTGTATAAGGAAGGGCCAACAACAAAATAAAGCAGTCATTGCTCCCCAGTTAGGAAAAAGAAAAGAAAATTGGAATCCTAATTCACAGCTCAGTTTTTCTGTTAACTTCCAAGCCCATAACAAATTATCAGCAGCTGTCAGAGCTTAACCTCTGGCACCTACAGCAGAGGGGAAAAAAGACATTGAAATTCACAGTTTACAAACTTGTTTCCTAGAGATCTTCTTGCTCTCTCTCTCTCTCAAAAGAATCCCCTTGGTATGTTACTTCTACTGTTAATGGGGGCTATCAACAGGCAGATTTGCATCAAGGATCCCTCACGAGATTTTTATAGATGGAATTGTTACCATTCAGCTTTTCTGCACTGGACTGAAGGAAATGTCCTACAAGTCACCCACTTCCAAGTTCAGCTCTGTTGCTCAGAGAAATGAGTGGGGAAAGTGAAGGCTGGTATTTTGAAGTGTGGTTTGGGTTGTAGGTCTGACAAGCTCACTAAAGTAGTATACAAAACTGAAATAATACGCTGGAGCCTCCACCAGACATTCAAAGAGGTAGCTGAGTGTCCCAACGCTTAAAAGCTAATGAATTAGAACAGAATGGCAGCAACAGTATTATTGGAGCCTAAGAGATTAGCAAAATGTGTGTGTGAAAAGGAGGTATCTTTAATATTATCTCATGCAATGCTCAGAAATGACCAGGGTCTACGCACTGTAGCGGCATCTTAGAACTATTGCAAAGTGTGAGTACCCATAGAGAGAAGTAAGTATAAATAACCATGGGTTTTAAATAGTTATCAAAGAATATGAAAATTGTCACACAAATGCAATTGATCCATGTCATATTTCCAGTTCTCACATTAAGAAACTTGGCATTTACTTATTGAGTCATCTACATAGCTCAGGTTGCTATAAGGAGCGTGCATATCTGGGCTCCACGGACCTTAGGGGCTGGAAAATAGGATCAACAACTTTCTTCCCTCTGCCCAAGGCTTTCCCAACTGTAGCCCTGAAATCCCTGCATCCTAGGGAACCCCAGTCCTGGGAAAACAAGGGTAGTGGTGAGGGCTGTGAATGGTCAGGACGGTGTTGGCTCAGGATCCTAACTCTACCTTCCATAAGAACCACTTCAATTGGTATCCATTTTATATAAGAGATTTTGCATTATATTTCATTGAAGATATGACTCCAAGTTTTCAAGTTGAAAGTCATTGGTTTAGGTATGTGCATTCTTTCATTTGGAGGAGACTGTTAAGAAAACACACGAGCCGCCTTCAGAGCTGCATAAACCTGATGTTAGTTCAGTAAGTGCTGACGACGGGCCCCTAAGCCTGTGCTGGAGCACACAGGTGCCCTACGTGACACGGAGGAGTGTGACGGATGCAGAATTTTGCTGTGCTGCGGGGCAGAGTGAGGAGGGAAATGGTGCTTTGTTGCCATGGAAAACCAAGCATGATGACTTGAAGTTGGTTTCTCCTGTACTTAATTTCCTTTCGTTTGAAATAATTAAGAAAGATGGACAGAGTAGGGGAAATCTTCCAAATTTGAAGTTTTGGGGCAGTGTTTTGGCAAAACAGATAATTTAGCCATTGAAAAATAAATGGAAGAGACCAGAAGCCATTTTAATCCCGTATATCACACACACCTGGCTGAAACAGCACTTTCAAACAACTGTCAAGTGAGCAAAAATTTAACCATAGGAACTACTCTCCCCCGCCCCACCATGTGTGAAAAGTAAATTATCTGATTGCCTTTTTTAAAAACAAAAATGGACTAGCTATATTATTGCCTTCTAATTCACCAACATAGACACTTTGCAAATAGAACAATCAATTTATCCTGCATTAAGTCTACCTTCATTTCTCTCATAAGCAGAAAAAGGAACGGAATGTGAATTAGCCTACCTTTGGTCCTCGGATAGAAAGTCCAGGTTCTCCTTTAAATCCAGGCAGCCCTGGTCCTCCCCTATCACCCTGCGCATTTCAAAGAACATTTACAAGCTGTAGATTGCATGAGAAACCACAAGGATGTGAGGTGGTCAAGAAGAGATCAGCTAATCTGTAACATGCTGAATCCATGAGACTCAGACATGGAGACAACATGTTCCTCTAACAGCTGAGGAGGACTTTCAAATCCTCAGTTACAGCTATCACAGCTGTTTAGAAAAGGCCCATTCAGAGGGGATTTGGCAATTTAGAGTCAAATATTTAGACTAAGAAAGCCTGCTAATGCTTTTACAACTGACTGGATTTCTTCTCTGCCGAAGTTTTCAGTTATAAATCGTAGGTTCTTCTGAATCAGTGCAATGAATTCCCACCTGCATTGAGGTCTAGGATTTGGCAGAGGTAGTGCAGGGCGTGGTGACAAGCTTGGCACCAGGAACGGGGGATGTGGGTTCTAGCCCTAACTCTGTTGCTGGCTTTTAGTTTTCTTATCTATGAAATTTCAGGATTGAATGGGGTCATTTCTTGGGGCACTTCCAAAACAAAAATTCTAGCTCACCAATATCCTGATACACACCTATATCTCTAAATATACATACATGCATATTCCTGCAACTACCATAGATTCAAAGAGAAGACAAAGATCCCCAGGAAAAGCTACCTTGGGTCCAGGTGGTCCAGGAATTGATGCTCCAGGCATCCCAAAAGGACCCATGATGCCTGGCTCACCCTGAAGAAGAGAAAACAAACACATTACTTTTTAAGCAGAGAAATACATGAAGACTATATCCGTAAAAGCAGAAGTAATCTGGAGATTTTTTAAATGATAGCATCATCTCTATTTCAAAGACCAGCATGAAAACAACTTGAGCATTTTTATAAACCACTACTGAAGCTGTTGATAAGCAAGATTTCCATGCCTTTAAATAAATACATTCGATTAATTCCTGAATGTTAGGAAAATTTTGTCTCTTGTGCATCCTCTTATTAACTAGCAAGAATTATACAATTCATAGTTCTTCCCTTAGGTGTTGCATGCTGGGAACTCAGAGGCAAATTTTTTTTGCCTAATGATAACACCTATCTTTAGTTTAAGCTTTGGGGTACATTCTAGCTTACAATTTTTTTTCCTTTATTGCTTTTATTTAATAGCCCATGGTATATAAGTCTTCCATTGCATGTCCTTTTTTTAAAAAAAGTAGAGTTTGTTGTTAAAACATTCAAGTAGAAAAGTAAAAACATTTGTATAATATTATTATTAAGTCTCAGACACTCGATCCGGAGCAACAGGCAATACCTCTGTCCCACCTGAATGTACACCAAGAATTCTCAAACTTGAGAGAATAGAGGGATTATCCTAAGAGCTTGGTAAATGTGTAGTTCTGTGTTTCAAGCCTCAAAGATTCTAGTTCAACAGACCTAGAGGCTGGGCCCCCGGAATGTGAATTTTATTTATTTATTTATTTATTTTGACAGGCAGAGTGGACAGTGAGAGAGAGAGACAGAGAGAAAGGTTTTCCTTTGCCGTTGGTTCACCTCCCAGTGGCTGCTGCAGCCAGTGCTGCGCCGATCCGAAGCCAGGAGCCAGGTGCTTCTCCTGGTCTCCCATGCAGATGCAGGGCCTGAGGACTTGGGCCATCCTCCACTGCCTTCCCGGGCCACAGCAGAGAGCTGGACAGGAAGAGGAGCAACCGGGACAGAATCCGGCGCCCCAACCGGGACTAGAACCCAGGGTGCTGGCGCCGCTAGGCGGAGGATTAGCCTAGTAAGCTGCAGCGCCAGCCCGGAATGTGAATTTTATTAAAGAACCCTGGTGACTGATGCAGATACCACTCCCACTGGGATATCAGAAGAAAATATCAGGACTTCTCTATATATTTAAACCTCACCTTTTAAAATTTCAGTTATTTCATGGAAGACCAGGAGGAAGCATAGGACACCAGGAGGAAGCACCTGGCTCCTGGCTTCGGATAGGTGCAGCGCTGGCCGTGGTGGCCATTAGGGGAGTGAACCAACGGAAGGAAGACCTTTCTCTCTCTCTCACTGTCTATAACCCTCTCTCTCTCTCTCTCTCTCTCTCTAACTCTGCCTGTCAAAATAAATAAAATTTCAGTTATTTATGTAAATGTCATAACATATAATAGTATGATAGTTAATAAATACAATTTACAAATAAAAAGCAAACCTATGTTGGGGTGTGGTCAAAATTTGAATGACAGAGGCTTATAATCAAAGCAGCTCAGAAGCTACTACTCTAGAGTAGGCATCAGCAACATCCAACCCTTGGGTCACGGCCAGCCTGCCCCAGCTCATATAGCCCCAGGCAAAGAATGTTTGCATTCTCAGATGGCTGTAATTCCAGTACCTGTGTAATCTCAATTTTCCATCTTGGCCTTGGTAGCTAAAAATGCTTATCTAGCCCTTCATAAAAAAAAGTTATAGAGGGAATGATTAAGAGGCCACTTGGGACAGCTGCACCCCATATCCAAGCACCTGAGTTTGGGTCTTGGCTCCACTTCCGGTATGAGTTTCCTGTTAATGTACATCGTGGGAGGTGGCAGGTGTCGGCTCAAGGGCTTGGGTCTCTGCCTTCCATATGGAAGGTACAGATGGAGTTCTGGGGTCCTGGCTTTGGCCTGGTCCAGCCCCAGCTGTTGTGGACATTTAGGAAATGCAACAGTGGATGTAAGATCTCTGTCTCTCTTTGCTTTTAAATAAATAAACAAAAATTCAAAGAAAAACACTTGTGGGCACCTATCTCAGGTGGAATGAATGTGCTCATGCTGCATTTCAACTCTGCTCTCCAGAATCTCACACTGAGCTAACGCTGCCTCTGCCTAGCTCCTGTCCTCTGAAAATGCAGCAGCACGAGCTGCCCACTCTGCCAGCCTCTCCCTCCAGGAGGGACTCAGCCACCAGTCACCAGGAAGAGCCACGTTCATCTTCCCAGCTGAGGCCTCCTGCCATGCCGATCACCCAGTGCAAACAAGCTGAGCACACAGCCGGCGGCAGCCCAGGCCAGGGCATGTGTGTGCCAATCCTTAAATCCACAAGTGGGAGGCAGGAGCACGTGGCAGAGTCAGGACCTGGCAACAGATAAACACCCTCTCCAATACAACGACGTAGGAACAAAACAGTAACCTCTTAAAATTCTTCTCTGAAATCAGGGACAACACAAAATGACACTTCTAGATTTAATTTGTTCTACATTTGTTTTTAGAAAGTATACACTTGTCACAAGACAATACGATGACCTAGTGAAAAGGCATATTAAGAGAAACCAAGACATAAAGAGCAGTCACCGTTAATGACAGCCCCGAGCACTCGGATGCAGTGACATCCTTCCTGGCGGGTTTCTTGAACTGCCTGCCGCACAGGGCACCTATTTAAGAAATCTCGATTTCAGGGGCTCACCACCTATGGAGTCCATATTTCTGTGGATGGCATGAAGTCTGGATTGGCAACAGCCTTCCAGGTTGATTGACACTAAAGGCTACGAATCACTACAGGTTATATTCCGTTTTGTTTTGTTTTGTTTTTCACCTGCTCTTTCCAGTGTCATTTTTTAAAAATCTGATGTTGAATCACCCAGTCCTTCAATATAGTCCTTATCGCCTTCTTACCAACGCCAGTTCGCAGATTCTGAGTCCCGAGACAGTCCGGGGGCCTCACTGCTGCTGCCCGTGAAGTCAGGACGCACACCACGCCCCGCCTCACCATCTCCCCACGTCTTGCTCAGTGCCGGTCTGGACAGCTGACCAGGGCGTAGATTCCCCATCTGCCATTTCACCGTGCTGCTGAGCGACCTCTCCAAGCAGCACACGGACTGAGAACGCACTGTGTGCCGGGACCTGAGACACAGGCTTCACGAACTCGCCTCTCTTCCCCACAACCCTGGGAGGGTGACCCAGTCGTTTCCTTTCCATCAGGAAGTGACCAGCTCTGAGAGGCCCCGGGCAAGCGCCCTCGGAAGGCCACCCTGCCTCACCACTGCACTCCCCCCCAGGCTGTGGCCACCCTGCCTCACCACTGCACTCCCCCCCAGGCTGTGGCCACTGTGGCTGCTGTTCAGCAAGCCCAGACCATACAGAACTGGCATCTCCTGGCCGAACCCTCTGCCAGCTTCTGATTGGCCGTCGCTGGAGGATCCTGGCCTATGGGTTCTCTCTGAGAAGCCTAAGTATTTGCATAAAGATTACACACTTGTACAACCTCTTTATTCTATTCTGTATTGGTCTGGGAACTGCACATTCTCTAAAGACTATTTGGGAGGGAGGTGTTTTGTATTTGTGGGGAAGGAAACAAGGAATCAAACTTGCGTTGGAAATCAAATCCTCTACTGAAATCCGACACAGTTACCACCTCCCCAAAGCATAAATGAGGAAATAGCAAACATACCTTCGGCCCCTCTGGCCCTGGAAATCCCCTCTGTCCTGGGTTTCCTTTGCTCCCTTTCTTCCCTTCATCGCCCTGACAAAGCAGTTAGAAACGATAGATGTAACATTAACAATCACTCCCCAACCTGACAATGGCCCAGATTCTCAAGTGACACCAGCACGTGCCCCAGGCACAGCTCCCTTGCGTGGGGTCTGCCAGTGATCCTGAGCAGACTGGGTAACTTCACAACTGTTCAGGCTTCGCCACTGACTCGGTATGAGTTAATATTTCATTAAACCCAAGTCCCATAACTTCCTTTGGGAACTTTTCTTTGCATGGACATCTCTGCGCACTCTTGGTCTACTCACAGATGGTTGTGAGATGTTCATGGTTTCAGAAGAGAGCTATCTATGCTTTTTGACACTGCTTTCAGTTTTGAAACATAAAATGAAACATTTTCCAAAGCACAGCCCCATTTCTTCCTAGGCAGGAGTCTAGTTCTTTCCCCGCAAGGAGGTCGATAGTTAGATCGGTAGGAAGATGTTTGAGCATTAACTTGGGACAGAGCTAAAAACTGTCTCTGGGCCGTTCCCCTTTGTGCTGTGTATGACAGGGCTCCCCCAGAAGAGTGCTGTTACCTCCAGCCAGAAGTCTCATGGCATTGCCAAACCACCCTGCAGCTCCCCAGCGGCAAGGCCCTCTCTCCAGCTGTGAGCTGCGTTCCACAGAGGAAGAGCTCCTTGGGTGTTGCAGCTGAGGCGCTCACGCGTCTTAATACCCACGACCATCCCCTGGCTGTTAAACTTGAGCATCAGAGTCACCAGCAGGGCATGTGCAGACACACAGCTGGGCCCTACACCCCAGATCCTGACTTAGTGGTCTGCACTGGGCCCCAGATCTTACATTTTACCATATCCAGGTGCTGCTGCTGCTGCTGCTGTCCACACCTGGGCAACAACTGGGCTACACTAAAGCCATCAGCAAAACAGATTCCTAAGAAAAGGCGACCTGGAAGGATGTCCAGGGCTGTAATTAACTCCCTGTGTCCCTGCCAATGGAGAGCAGTGGCACAGGTAGTAACGAAACAGTTGAATGTCCAAGTATCAGTTATATTATCACTTTCCAATAGAGAAAAAACCCAACCACAACTACTCATTTTTCCCATTCACTACTAGATTTAACTTATTGTTCTAAATCAACCCCAGAAGAGAAGCCAGGTTAAATGTAACAATGTGTCAATGCTGAACCATGTCCTGCCTGGGCTATGTGGCATATTCCTACCCCTCTTCCAAGCCACAGATTTAGCGGCTTTCTCTCCAAGGCACAGTCTCCTTGTTCTATTGGTGGCATTTGATACCATTTATGCTTCCATCCTGAAACCCTCCCTTTCCCCCTGGGTTTCCTAACATGGTCCTTTTGTGCTTACGTGGTTCTGAATGCTCTTTCTCCAGTGCCCTCCCTGTACAGGGCCTGAACCCCACCTCTCTTTCTCAGATATCATTCATTCATTCTCACAGTGTCAATGATTAATTTCTACTGTCTATTTCCCAGAAGTATAGTCTAGAAAACTTTAATTCTACTGAATGTGAATAGGCTGATATTTCTAAATTTATATTTGGCATGATGTTAAAAAGATATTCCCAGCTCCGTACCCTCACGCCTCAAGAAAGGATTCCATAATCTGGTAAGTCATAAATTAAAATGTTTGAAATACATTTGAATGTCAAATTCTCACATTTAAGAGTAAGGAGTCATTTAGCTAATACTTTCATAAGATATAGACCGCTTAATCTATCAATTACTATTTTAAGATAATTCTAAAGTGTTAAAAAATAAACAAGTTTTTACTTCATTGATCTATAAAGATAAGAATATACGGGCATTGATAAGTGTATATAAAATTACAGAAACATCTGGACACTTAGAAGCTGAAGGTTATGTCATCCTTTTGATGAACTTGCATATTTTCATCTTGACATATGAAGAGATCATTTATCCAGCATTTCTACAGCGTGTAAAATAAATTTATGACAATGGTAAGGTGATACCGCATTTAATAAGGTGGTGTTTCCTACTATGTGAGAGTCTATAAATATTTGAAGAAAATGTATGGACTTCCAAGTCTCAATGATGTGTCTTTTCCTTCTTTTCCCTCCTATGTGTTTTCAGTGTCAGTCTGATCACCTATTGAGAAACATGCTGGGCTCTTCTCTGTTTGCTGAGTCTCATCATAAACATTAGGAAAATAAAAATGGACCCATACTTTCTGTCTTTCAAAAGCTCACAAGACAGAGTCATGAGCCAGATGGGAACACACTGACATAGCAAGAGTAACAATCAAATTTTCCGGCATCAGCTTCTTTGGCTCCGCACCAGAAGGCAGGGGGCTGGCCCCGGACTCTGTCATTTGCATACCTTGGAGCCAGGCTGTCCTTTCCCAGGTGGTCCTTCTGGGCCTCTGGTTCCTGGAAGTCCTGCTTCTCCCTGGAGGGAATGACGCCGGCATCTAAGTTGACCCTCCACAGACAGCATGCGAAATCCCACCTTGTCTCCTCTTTCTGCCAGTGGACTCAGCTGAGACCCTCCAAAAGAGACTAGAACTTCACTGTCATCTCAAAATTAATCTGGAAGTTTGTCAGCTTGAATAAATTAACATTAAACTCCAGTTTAACTGGAGCAGATGAAATATCATGAAAAAGTGCAGTTTCTTAGCCAATTTCCAAAGCAATAAGCCCACTTTCCTTTGGCTCTTCATTCACATTTTGTGGATTTTTTTGAAAAACAAGAAAGACCTTCAGCCTCTCCATCTGCTGTTTTTCACTACTTTTATTGAAAAATGAGGATTTAAAATGTCAACTCAAAATAATTCAGGAAATCTTTACAATGGCCTTGCTGACTGCATTTTCAAGCTCTCCTTTTGGAGGTACACAGTTTAAATTATTGTGCTTTCTAGAAATTCTGAGAGAACTAGGTTACTGGAGAATGCCACGGCCAGAGGCCAGAGATAGCAGAGGACGTGATGTTACTTCAGTGTCTGACTTGGCGCTCTTTCCGTCTAGGGCAAGTAAAAGGGAAAATTTAGAACTGCGAGTGTTACTTCTTCTTAAGGGAACTCAGTTTGTCCTGCACGGTTTCATCTGAGCTCCTGCAGGACCAAGATATCAATCTGACTCTGTAGTTCTCACTCTAGTAACAGAAAAAAACTAAGCATCACCTTCTTCCCCGCAGCTCCATCTTCTCCTGGTACTCCGGGTTGTCCTGGCAACCCTATCGAGCCTGGCTCCCCCTGGTGGACGAACAGAGATGTTATTTCCCGAAAGTTGATATTTAGTGTGTACCTGTATTTGGAGGGACTCCCAATTGGACATATATCATAGTGTCTAAGAAAAGCCTCTGAGCTGAGACATTGACTATTAAGTAATTATAGTTCAATTATTTGATTGAGCAAGACGCTTGTCCTCTCTGGGCTTGTTTTCTGTTGTTGAGTTGAATTGTGATCTTCCCCGAAGATATGTTAACCCCTAATTCCTGGGACCTGTGAGTGTGACTGTAGTTGGAAATAGAGCCCATGCGGAAAGAATCAAGTTAGGATGCCTCACGAGGGTGGACCCTAACCCAGTATGGCCGCTGTCCTTCTGAGAGGGGGAAAACAGCAGGTGGAGACAGACACAGGCAATGCACCACGTGGGGGAAGAAGCAAAGCTAAGAGGGAACAGCTACAAGCTAAGGAAGCCAGGGAATGCCGGAGAGGTCAGCCTAGAGCCTCCTGCACAGGTTTTGGAGAGAGCACGCCCCATAGACACTTTGATTTTTAACTTCTAACCTCCATGACTGTGAGACGATAATTTTCTGTGCTTTTGAAGCTCTGGTGTGTGGTGCTTTGTTATATCAGCTCCAGCAAACTAATAAAACAAAAAATTGGGGCTCAAACACTACTTCCGGCTCTAATATTCAACAATTATGTATGCTTTCTAGTTAATCTATGATAAAAAGTCTTTTGAAATCTAAAGAAAAATCACATGCCACTTTCAAACAGTGTTCTTAGAGCCGGTGCTGTGGTGTAGCACGTAAAGCCTCTGCCTGCAGTGCTGGCATCCCATATGGGCACAGGTTCGAGACCCAGCTGCTCCACTTCCAATCCAGCTCTCTGCTATGGCCTGGGAAAACAGTGGAGGATGGCCCAAGTCCTTGGGCTCCTGCACCCATGTGGGAGAGCCGGAAGAAGCTCCTGGCTCTTGCCTTCTGATCGGTGTAGCTCCAGCCATTGAGGCCATCAGGGAGTGAACCAGCAGATGAAAGACCTCTCTCTCTCTTTCTCTGCTTCTCCTTCTCTCTCTGTGTAACTCTGACTTTCAAATAAATAACTAAATCTTTTTTAAAGTGTTCTTACTGCATGTATAAGAGCAAAATGCTTTGAATTGCCTGAAAGTCATCTTTGCTAACCTAAAAAAGCTAGTGGAAAATAAAAAGCATAGCAAGCCCACAAATAAGTTGAAGAATATAACAAAAGTAGGGGAATAACTTGAAAACAAAAAGTTAAGTGCTCCAGAAACCTAAAATACTTTTTTTTTTTTTTTTTTTGACAGGCAGAGTGGACAGTGAGAGAGACAGAGAGAAAGATCTTCCTTTTCCATTGGTTCACCCCGCAGTGGCCACTGCGGTTGGCACGCTGCGGCTGGCGCACCGTGCTGATCCGAAGCCAGGAACCAGGTGCTTCTCCTGGTCTCCCATGCGGGTGCAGGGCCCAAGCACCTGGGCCATCCTCCACTGCACTCCCAGGCCACAGCAGAGAGCTGGCCTGGAAGAGGAGCGACCAGGACAGAATCCAGCGCCCTGACCGGGACTAGAACCCGGTGTGCCGGTGCAGTAGGTGGAGGATTAGCCTATTGAGCCATGGCGCCGACCATAAAATACTTTTTAAAACTCATAAAAATAAATAAATATGCAGCAGAAATGATCAATATACAAAAACAAAATGCACAAGAAGCACTTTTATAAATGAAAGGCAGATCCAACTACACACATAGTAGATATGCTTAAAAATCATAAAAATTTACATGATAATTTCCAACCCATGTATTGGAAAACATTAAAAAGTGCATATTTTTCAAGAAGAATGTAAATGACAAAAATAGAAAGAATGAGCAAGCTCGGTAAAACAACCTATTAAACAAACAAATTGAATCAGTGCTGAAATGTTTAACCTCCTCTCCCCTGAGGGTAGCAGGTTTAGTTGGTTTAATGGTCATACATTACCAAACCATTTTGCCTTTGAGGAATACACATTCCCTATTTACAAAAAGATTTGCAAAAAATAGGGAATGAATGAAATCTACCCAATACAATATGACCTAGTCATTTCACTCCTGGGTGTTCACCTAAGAAAAATGGAAACATATGTCCATGCAAATACAAATATATATATATATATATATATTCATAACAATTTTATTTGTAATATCAAAAACCTGCAAGTAACCAAAATGTCAATCAACACATGAATGGAGACAGACTGTGGACATACATATGAACAAACATTGGAGCACCCTTCAGCAATATGAAGGAATACATTCTTCAAATGTGTTACGACATGGATCTCAATATAATTTTGCTGAATGAAAAGAAGCCAGACCCCTACCTCATAAAAAGTATACATAGCATCTGATTCCATTTTAGGAAATGAAAACTAATCTGCACTGACAAAAAGCAGATTAATAGGTACCAGATCATTTGAAAGCATATCAGTAGAGATGAGAGAAGTTAGGGAGAGATGGAAAGAAAATATTATGAGAGAACACATGGTAGCTCTTGGGAGTGATAGATATCTTTATTACTTTGTTGTGGCAATGGTTTCAAGAGCATACACATTGCCAAATCTTATCATATTAAGTTTGAACATGTGTGTGCATATTTGTTATATGTCAATCATATAACAGTTATATAAGTGGATGTGAAATTTTGCATAAAATATTAGTCAGTTCAACTATTCTCATAGAAAGCATACATAATGATCAGTTGGGTTTATCTCAAAAAAGCAAGGATGGTTCAATATCTGAAAATATAGTAACAGGTTAAAAGGAACAAAAATACAATTAGTATAAGCAGATGTTGGTAAAATCCAATACTCATTTATCCTTAGTAAGCAGTGTTTGCTACAATTGAAATAGAAGAGAATTTCACTCACCTAATAGATACTATTTCTCAAAAACCTACAGCAAATGTCACATTTAACAGTAAAATTGTAGAAGGACTTCCTTTGAAGTCACTTCTTTAAACATTGTACTGGTTGCTGGCGCCGCAGCTCACTAGGCTAATCCTCCGCCTTGTGGTGCCGGCACACTGAGTTCTAGTCCCGGTTTTGGCGCCGGATTCTGTCCCGGTTGCCCCTCTTCCAGGCCAGCTCTCTGCTGTGGCCTGGGAGTGCAGTGGAGGATGGCCCAAGTGCTTGGGCCCTGCACCCCATGGGAGACCAGGATAAGTACCTGGCTCCTGCCATCGGATCAGCACGGTGCGCTGGCCGCAGCACGGCCATTGGAGGGTGAACCAACGGCAAAAGGAAGACCTTTCTCTCTGTCTCTCTCTCACTATCCACTCTGCCTTTCAAAAAATATAAAAAATAAAAATAAAAAAAACATTGTACTGGTGATCCCAGCAGCGCAAAATTATAAAAGTAAATGGGGGGGACCCTAAGAAACAATAGGTAAAACTATTTTTATTTTTAGATAGGTAAGTGCACAGGGTATAAAAATGTAAGGGGCTCTACAAACAATTAGAAGTAGTAAAATTTCACAGGGTGGCTGGATTAAAAAATAAACGTATCAAAACCAAAACAAGGAGCCAGCACTGTGGCATAGAGGGTAAAGCTGCCTACGGTGCCAGAATCCCATATGGAGCTGGTTCAAGTTCCTGCTGCTCCTCTTCCAATCCAGCTCTCAGGAATGGCCTGGGAAGGCAGTGGAAGATGGCCCAAGTGCTTGGCTCCCTGCACCCACATGGGAAACTCAGAAGAAGCTCCTGGTTCCTGGCTTTGGATTGACCAAGCTCTGGCCATTGCAGCCATCTGGGGAGTGAACCAGCTGATGGAAGACCTTTCTCTCTGTCTCTCTCTGTAACTCTACCTCTCAAATAAATAAATAAATCTTTATTTAAAAAAAAAAAAGACAAATAAAACATATCTATCCTACAGAGCTGTAACAGCTAGTTAGAAGAAGTACAAAAGAGGGGCCAGGACTGTGGCACAGCAGGTTAACGCCCTGGCCTGAAGCGCCAGCATCCCATATGGGTGCCAGTTCTGGTCCCACCTGCTCCCTTTCTGATCTATCTCTCTGCTGTGGCCTGGGAATGCAACGGAAGATGGCCCAAGTCCTTGGGCCCCTGCACCCATGTGGGAGACCCAGAGGAAGCTCCTGGCTCCTGGCTTTGGATTGGTGCACCTCCGGCCGTTGCGGCTATCTGGGGAGTGAACCAGCGGATAGATGATCTCTCTCTCTCTCTGTCTACCTCTCTGTAACTCTTTCAAATAAATAAAATAAATCTTCTAAAAAATAAAATAAAAAATAAAAATATGTACAAAAGAGAAAAATTCACTTTGCAAAAATTTCTCCAAGTTACTCATAGAATAAATTCAAGAAATGTACAAGATTTTTTATGGACAACATGATAAATACTTTCTGAAAAATTAGAGCATTTTACTCAGTCATTTGAAAGATTCAATATTTAATCTGTAGATTTGATTCAGTCACTACGGGATGATTTGTTAAATTTAAAAAGAAATTCTGAAATGCATATGCTAGAATCAATAGTAACCAGGAAGAAGATAAGGCTTTTCCCTATCAGATAACAAACATTTTAAATCAGTCATAAGGTAGGGAGGCAATAGCACTGAGAGATGAGAATGGACAAATGGACCAGCCAGAGAGCTCAGGTTCCTATCATCTTTGTGACTAATTTTATGGTGTCAACTTGTTCGGGTTAAGTAACACCTAGAAACCTGGAAAAGCCGTATTCCTGGCATGTCTGGGGAGGTACTTCCAGTGTGAATTAGCATGTGAGTCCAAGTGGACCAGCCGGGATGAGGGTGCTCTCTGCTTCCTGGCTCGAGATGTGATCTGCCCCCCTCCATCCTGCAGCTCCCCAGGGACCTGAGCCCATCGAGCTCTCTGAGGCTCCAGACTGTGAGCTGACACAAACCTTCCCCCTCCCGAGTAGCTTCTCTCAGGTATTTCGGTTACAGTACCAAAAAGCTCACTATCACAGGGACAAACACAGAAAATTGACATCAGTCATTCAGGGTATTACAGATCAGCGTGTACTCTCAATAACTGATGATGGGCACCTGGTTATATATGTGGGGGCAAAATAGAGACCTACATTGCCCAAACACAAAAATAAATTCAATGTAAAGACCTACATTTAAAAAGCAAAATGCTAAAAATATCATTAAAAAGAATGTCTTTATGACTTTAAGGCCAACACATTTTAAAGATAATATTCTAAAAGCACAAACCATTCAAAGACAGGAATATATCAAAATATAAAATGCCTATATTCTAAAAGGTATCTCTAGGAGGCAATATTTACAACCCATACAAGAAAGGGTTAATATCCAGATTAAAATGAACTCTAGTTAGAAAAGAATCTGGTCTCAAAAAAATAAAATAAAGTAAAATGGAACAAAAAAACTAAAATAAAATAGCACATGAAAAATCATTCAAACACTTAGCTACCAGGGAATACCCACGGAAACAATGAGATTTTTACACACTTTGCAACAGAAAGGATGCAGAGAAGGAACACCGTTAGCTATTGCTGGGAGGAGGGAACATGGCACAACCATTTGGACAGGACGCCCCCGTGCCAAAATGGAAAGCATATAAACTCTGGGATCTTCTCATTCTACCTTTAGCTATCTGTGTTCTAAAAGCCAGGGAAATCTGTACTCTTATACAAAAGGAAACACAGAATGCTTATGGCAGCACAGTCAGCAAAAGCAAAACACTGGAGGCAACTTAGATAGTCATTAACAGGAAGCTGAATAAATAGTAAACAAGATAGGCTCATCCAGTGGAACACTGAAGATCAGTTAGAATAAAAGAGAGGCACACAAAAACGCACAGAAAAGACAAGCTCTTTTATCCATATGGCTGATGAATTAAAACATGGGAAATTATAAAAGCTGTGACAAAGTGTTCAACACCAAATTCATGATGATTATGTCTGAGACAGGAGAAGACAACAATGGTAGTGGGGAGGACAGGCAGGGACCTCCGGCCTGATTTGTGATGCTTCTGACAAGATTTTTGGAGTCCATATGACAGAATATTAACATTTGACTTTGGAAAAATGGGTGTTCTTTGTATTATTCTCTATACTCATCAAGATATGGGAAACATTTTATTTTTTAAAGTGAAAGATTGTTATCTAGTAAGTGGTAAAACTTGGATTTGAATTTAGATAGTCTAACTGCTGAGTCTTATTATAACATACATTACTGCTCTGAAATTGACATGAAAATGACATCATATATGTGTATGCCCATACATACATGTGTATACCATATTTATTTTTCTGTGTACACACATATGAATCATACTTAGCATTTAGCATATTGTGTAGCACATCAAAATCATGCAATATGGGGCTAGTATTGTGGCATAGCAGGTAAAGTTGCCACCTGGCATCCCATTTGGGCTCCAGTTCAATTCCCAACTATTCCACTTCAAATCTAGCTCCCTGCTATGGCCTGGGAAAAAGCAGCACAAGATGGCCCAAGTGTTTGTGTCCCTGCATCCACTTGGGAGACCAGGATGAAGCTCTTGGCTTCTGGCCTCAACCTGGCTCAGCCCTGGCTGTTGCAGCCATCTAGGGAGTGAACGAGTGGATGGAATATCTCTCTCTCTCTGTCCTCTCCCTCTGTCTGTTAACTATGACTTTCATATAAATAAAAAAATATTTTAAAAATGCAAAAAATGGCAGCTACTATATGCATAAATGTTTAACCTATGTAATTAAATATTTTATGCATTTGGATAAAATTATGGATAATCTTCTCAGACCTACATCTTGCATATTCTTCCGATACCCAAATGTTTGTAAGACTAATGCCAATGGCAGCAGAACGATCAATAGTAAGGACTGGGGCCCAGCGTGACTCAGCAGCCCTTACACACCTTCAGGATGCATTATAGGAACAGTGCCTCCTGAGTACCTGTCCTGTCCTCCAAACAGAGAAGACGAGCAAAGGCCCTGCCCCAGTGGAGTCTGTGGTTTAGAGCAGCGCTGTCCAGTAGAAATACGACACAAGCTATCCAGGCAATTATGACTTTTCCAGCAACCACAGTTAAAAAGGTGAGAGAAACAGGCTCTACGGAGTCATGTGACACACGCATGGTCTGTACTGCACTGCACTATAAAGGAGCCCTAACTAAGATTACATGAATTGTTTATTTGTCTCCAAGCAGCATAGTCAACTCACCTTTGGACCTTGTACTCCCAGTCCTATTGGTCCTCTAGGGCCTGTGGGCCCCATCTGGCCTATTTCTCCCTAGTAAGAAGAGAGGATAGCAACACATAAAAATAATATATTCCTTCCTTTCATGCCCTAAAAGTATCTTACACCAGCAAATTAATACAAAACAGTTTCTTGGGGTAGCATCTCATATTGAAGAATAGATGTGAGTCCCAGCTGCTCCACTTTCCATCCACCTTCCTGATAACGCACTTGGGAAGGCAGGGGAGATGATCCAAGTGCTTGGGCCTATGTAGGAGACCCAGACAGAGCTCCTGTGTCTTTCTGCCTCCCCCACCCTCTCTGTCACTCTGCCTTTCAAATAAATAAAATAAATCTTTAACAATTTTTTGGAATATCCATATATGAGGGGGTCTTTAAAAAGTTCAAGAAAATGTACATAGTGAAAAAACTGCATAGATTTCTAAAAATTGATAGACAGCTTGAAATGCCTTCAGATGGTTGGATTCTCACCAAATGAATTATATATGTGGCAGGAATTAAAGTACAGGCCTCAGAGTGTATTCAAAACTGATTTTAAGGAGCCCCTGGGGAGGGCATCGCGAAGAGTTTGACAGTTACGATCCAGAGCAGCTAAAACTGACACGAGAGAAGCCCAGGTGACTGCTGATCAGGAGCAATGTGACTGGCAGAGAGCCGTCTCAGCTGTCACTGGTGCACTCTCGAGGACGCACAGTCACAGGGCTGGAGAGAGCCGCTCGCACCTGGGCTGCTCGGGGGCGCGTGCTCTCAGCTGAGTCGTCTCAGAGGAGTATTTTATGCAGCAACAATGACAACTCGTTCTTTGAAACAACTGTAAAATAATAAGCGCCTTGCTTATCCTTAAGGTATAAATAATAGTTCCAATTTAGGACATCATCTGATTCTCAAGTTCATAGAAGAAAATTACCGTCAGGTCACTTTGGAGTCCACTGCTTTAAGTGTTCGGCAGTTGGACTTAACTGTGAGACTGCTGGGGGGCATGAGAATTAGCCAACCAGAGAGACATCCATTCTATCTGCTCTCTTCCAAATGCATCATCGTTGACCAGAAAACAATTACCCAGAGATATTGAGATTACCTTGGGACCAGGTGAGCCTTGTCCTGGGGGCCCTTGTGGACCTGGTGGACCAATAGGACCTTGAATTCCCTTTGAAATAAAAAACAAATGGCATCAGTAAAATTGAGAAAATATTTAGATAAGAGTAGTTCCCACTTCTCTAAAGTGAAAGGTTAGTCCACACCCCGTCACAGATTACTCATCTCCAACTCACGTCGGAAGAAGCTGCTACATGAGCTATAATACGCATTCTCCCACTTCTTCCATAGTCAGAGAAACTTCATTAGGCCCACACAGCAGCCTGGAATAAAGATCACATTTCCCAGGCCCGGCTGTAGCCAAGAGTGGACTCGATTCTGCCCCCATGGATGTGAATGGAGTTATGTGTGCCATTTTTGGTTAATGCAAAAGAAGCAAAATCCCTGCTCCTTCCCTTTTCCCATTCCCTGGTGGCTGGAATAAAGGCACGTGGCTACCCTGGATCATGTGGTCAGGATGGAAGAATCACAGTCATGAAGAAGCCTCAATCCCTGGTGACACTGATGAATGGAGCGATCACACCAAGCTTGATTTTTAAATAGGAAAAATAAAACTCCCCCCCCCCATCAACCCATATCACATCTCCATCATATGCAGGCAAAACTGTATCCTGGTTATGCCAATCGGTATGTGTATCAGGTTATTACCATGAAGTTTTGTTGTAGGCTCTAAGAAGCAAATAGCTAGCCAGCAGCCACCAAACTCAGACACCTGATTCCCTCCTTCACACTGCGGGGAGAGAAACAAGGAGGGAGATGGGAATTTCTTCTATGGGGAAAGTGGCCTAGACTAGAGTTTCCTTGTAGAGATGAATGGTATTTGGATTGCTTCTCTCCTTACTCTAGTCTCAAAGGGTGATTTCAATGAAACCACCTGAAGACTTTGACTTTGGTTTTCAGGACACAAGACTCATGTCTGGGACAGCTAGATGGCCTTTGGCAGCCAGAACAGGGCTGGGATGGGGTGAGCCCACGCATCCAGGGTTTGTCAGGGCAGAACCACATGAGGTTTCTCATAGAGCAGGTGTATTCCAGGAGCAACTGCAGCTGGCCTGGAGCGACTTTGAACCCAGCGGTGAGAGTGGTTGTAGAGTAACCCCAGAAAAGCAGATGCTGAGAGAGAGAGACACAGCTAGAGCTGGAGGAAGAGAGCCCTTCACCCGTGTGCTAGGGGTATGTTTTGATGTAACCTAACAAACAGAGCATTTTCTCCAGTTAGATGATACAACTGATTGTTCACTTTTAATTTACACGTATGATTCCCCTTCCTCTGGTTGCTAAGACTGAAGCAGCCCAAAGAGTTAAGGGAAGCTCGGGTAGCTACACCATAAATACTGAGTTGCTTTAAGAAGCTTTGACTTCTACACTGGTTCACAAGTAGCAGACAACAGACAGCCCCCAAGAAACTCACGGGCACATGTGCACGTGCTCATGTCTCATTTCATTCTGTAAAACACCTGAAATGATCAGAGCTATTTTAAACATCGTGCTGGAAAGAAAAGTTCTCTCACAAACAGATGAGTGGGAAATGTCATTTCTATAAGAGAAATGGGAAGATCTAATAACAAAAAGAATTCAGTGGGTGAACACATTAAATTGAGGATGAGAAGAAAATTGAATGGGGAGTTTCTGAATAAAGCTAAGTAATTATTTTCCTATTCAGAACAGCGTCCCTTCACTCTCCTAACCAAGAGGCATCAGTTCTACAAGGTTACATCCACCTCACAGTTCTTCCTTTTGGAAAAAAAAGAAAAGAGGATGAGAAAACAAAAGAAGAAGAGTTTATTTTTTAAGCTAAGGAACCCGTCAAGGGCCAGCATTAAAGGCAAGAGGAAGCCGGGGCTGGGAGGTCCAGAATCCACCGGCCACCTGCACCCTTTCTTTCAACCTCTTCTCGGCCCCAGAGACCCAGGATGTGACAGCCCCATCCAGCCGCGTCTGGGATCAGACCAGAGTCCTGCTAAAGCCAGCAAACAAACCACAGAGCTTGAGAATGCCTGGCAGGAGAGTCAACCCATGATCCCTGAGTAGCTGAAATGTCCAGTCCTAGATTGTTATCTAAATATTTATTTACAGATTTATCTTGGCTGCTTCCGCACTTTAATCCTCCTAATGTAGCACACTAGGACCTCTGCCAAGGGCAAAGAAACGGAACAAGGAGTAACAGCCAACTTCGCTGTGCCTGGGCTAGTGAATAAAGTATAGAGCTCATAACAAACTAGCAGATGGTCTGAAATAAAGTAAAACTTAAGTGTCAACAATGAGATTTGGAATTATCTCATTTTTAAAATTCTTCCTTTCAATTACCTCAGATAAAGGACACATTATTCATTCTCCAGACAAAAGATAATTCAGACCTTAATCATAAATTTTAATCAAACTGATTTGTCATTTTCTAATGAGCAGGATATTCAACATAAATCTAGGTTTGCTGGACACTTAGGTTAAATGAAACTATGTAAAAAGAGCTTGTACACAACAATTAATAGTACTGTACACCACGTCTATTTTATTTAGTTTAACAAAATTGACCAGCTGTTTCAAAAATCGTCAGATTTCGGTCTCGTTCCAGCCACACTTGTCGAGACATCCTCAGAGATCTCAGCTTTCTTCTGTGGTTGGTGTCCACTCAGGGAGGAGGCCCTTTCACTTAAGTGCCCAAAATTAAGTGCCCTTTAAATTCAGATACCTCTGAAGTAGCTGGCCCTTATATTCAATACCCTTTTTAGGTCGGTATGTGGTCAGTGGTGTGGAAAATATTATTCTACGGGCATGGGAGAGAGGAATTTTATCACTCACTGAGCTTCAAGGGGAAATAAACCCCACACAAACCAATAGGTGAAACTATTACTCCCAATGAAGTAGGCAGGCATACAGGTTAAAATTGATAAGGTTTGTGGGCTGGAAGACCACACCTTCACCATGCCCCTGTGTGACCTCATGCCCCTACCTGGCCACACTTGAGCGTCCACTGGTCAATCAGGTTAATTAACCACTCCCCTTTGAAAGAGGATTAAAAGCCTGGGACAGGGTGTGTCTGGCCCTTTCCTTTTTTTTCCTCCCCCGGCCTCTTGCCAATAGGGGGCTGGCTGTAGCCCTGCACCACCTGCCCTAGGCTTCCTGGCCTAGATGCATAACCACGTGGCTGGTTCCTGGTGCTCGGTATGAACTCACTAGAGCTTATTAATATTGGGGGTTTATTAATAAGCATATGGTGATATCATATGACACCCCAAATTCTGATAACGTATGTGGCACCCCAGATGGGACTTCTGGGGAACTATAAAGGGCCACATTCTGATATATTTTTAAAGGGTCACATTCCAATAGCATATGGCACCCCAGATAGGATATCTGGGGAACTTTAGGGGGCTACATTTCATATATGTTTTAGGGGACCCAAATTCTGATATCACCAAGGGAAGCTAAACATAGGAAATATTACCCCAAAACTCTTACCCTGTTAATAGGCAAAGACCCAGAAACATAGAGTTCGTTTTTTAAGTCTTCGGGGGTTCTAAGAACAGAAATCGCATCCTAGGACCATCTGGTCTTCGCCTGCGTTCACCGCTGCAGCTGGACCACCGAATCCACTCAGAGGGGCACGCAGGGCTGGCCTGCAGGCGACACTGCTAAGTGCAGATGGGACCAGAACGTTCTGGTACGTTCTTTCCTGAGGAGAAAGGAAGAGGACGTGAATTACCTGTTCCCCTTGACTTCCAACTCCAGGGATGCCCATCGGTCCTTGGGGTCCCACAGGTCCCAAGTCTCCCTGCACAGAAAATCAGTCAGAAACAGGACAAGAAAACAAAATCTCATTCTTCCACACTCTGCTCACCAGGAATTCCACTACATCAAATCTATATTGATACTATACAAAAATTCAAGGGGAAAAATCACAGAACTTCATTCCTTTTAAGCAGTTTACACTTCAAGTTCGCCAACATAATAAATGACATGTTTTGCTATCTAGTCTATATTGGTGAAGATCTGCATCAGCTTATGTTTATCATTTTTCTCAAAAAATTCCTCTTTTCCATATGTTGTGACATACACACTTCCTTTTAGAATCATGATAGAAATACTCAAAAGTATAAAATGTACTGGGTACAAGAAAACTGAAATTTGAGAGATAAATAGAAGAAAAATATTTTTAAGTTCTCTAAATAACTTTTCCTTTCAAATCTTATGAAAATATATTTTAAAAATTAAGAAATGATCTAAGGTCAATAAACTAATATTAAAGAAATTTACTGTCTCCTTCCAAGAAATAATTTGGGAAAACAGTGAGAATTATGAGTAAGAACAATGCCATTCATTTGTTGTGTCTTTCTACAAATACCGCTGAGTTCCCATTATATGCAGAAATTATTCCAAATACCAGGGCAACAATGGTGACCAAAACAGACCCAACTATCTTCCCTCAATGGAGTTCGCATTGCAGTAGGGGCAATAGAAAATAATACACAGGGCAGATAAGATAAATAGTTTGTTGACTAATGATATGTGCTAAGGAAAAAAATTAATCAATTTGGACAAGGTAGCTCAAGATGGCTTCATTGATAAGAGCGAATGATGCATATTAAAAACCTGGAGGAAAAGTATGGTAGACAGAACAAACAGTCCCCAGAGAAGGCCTGGCACGTTCCAGCAACAGCAAGGAGGCGAAACTCAGTGAGTCCAAGAAGGATGCAGGGGATCAGGCAGAAGGATGACAGGATCATTAAAAAAAAATCAAAGGTTTCTTTACAGGGTGGTGTATACTATTTATTTGTTTGTTTGAAAGTCTTTAGAATAAAAGCCCTGTGAATTCTAAGTAATAAAGTAGCCAAGTTCTGTGTCAAAAGATTCCAACCATTAATCTGAACTTGACGCTATTGCATTTTCTTTCCATGAGATTTATTTTGATCAGGGCTGACGCAAAGCAAAACGCTATGAAGCACATTCCAGGGTGTGTCTTCATGTGGGCTCAATGCACTTTAATAGTACAGAAAGTAGGATCAAGTGATCCCGTTTTGTTCATGAAAACATAGTATTTTTAGCCCAAACATTGGCCTCCTATGGGGCTGGCTGGCTGTTTCTGTAGGTAAAATGTTGCTGGAACCCAGGCGCACCTGTTCATCTATGTAATGCTAGAGGCTGCTTTTGCACTAACCAGTTCCTTTGTTATAAAGGTAACTGTACAAAATGTCTCTTATAAAGAGACCTTATTATGGCCCTCAGGTCAAAAATATTTACTACCCAACTGTTTCAGGAAAAGCTTGCTGATCCCGTGTATTCCAAATACAATTGCTGCTGAAAGAAGCCTGTTTACCCAGGGTGCATTGCCAGCCGTCCTCTCACTTGACCTGTCAGTGGCATTTGATAGGTCGCTCCCTCACCTTCTTGAGAGCTCCCTTGGCTCGGTCTCCGGCCGCTCACTCCCAGTCTCTGCTGCTGCCGCTTCTTTATCTATTTGACCTCTAACGATTGCCGTACACAAAGGACTCACTCCTCCTTCGCTTTTATTCCATCTACTTGTAAACTCACCCAGTCATGGCCTTAAATACCATCTGTACACAGCCGGGCCCTCCACCCCAACCCCCATGGTCTATTTTTGGCATCTCAAATCTAGCCTAGCGCAGACTCAGCTCCGGATATCTCACCCCCACCCCAGCCTTGCTTGTCTTTTAGGCTGCTGCTTCTGGGTAAACCATAACTTCATTCTTCAGAGAAGCTCAGAGACATCCTCTCGACGCACAGCAAATCCTGTCATACCTACCTTCAAAACACGCCCAGGCTCTGAGTGCTTCCCCACGGCCTCTGTCGGTGACACCCTGGCCCAGCCGCCCGTCACCTCTCACCCACCTCCCTTCATCTTGCTCTCTCCGCAGCCGCAGGTGGGGCCTGCACACCCGAGCTGCACGGCTCTCTGCTCAGAACCCTCCATCTCACTCCTAGGAGAGCGGCCGCAGAGATCCTGCACAAGGAGCTGGCGCGGTGGCACAGTGGGCCGAATGGTCCTCGCGCTTTCTCATTTAATCCTCACAGCGACAGTCTGGACCGAGCACCCCCATTTTCCATTTCCACCCCAGGTCACATGACTGTTAGGTGAATTTCAACTCCACTCTGACTCCGGACCCCACTATTCTGCAAATACTCGGTAACACATAAGAGAGAATCCCTTTTGTGCAGTGTTATTTGCAATTAAATATCAGTGTCATAAGTTCTTTGTTTTGTTCTAATTTTATAAATAAATATATTATGTATGTACTTGAGAGCTTTATCATAGGGATGCTTACATTATCACTTGAGTCACAGAGACCAGTCTCTGAATGTACTGTTGTACATCAAAGGAGAGCAAAGGAAGAAAGAGGGGAGGGGGGATTTCACTCGGTAAGGGAACAGCAGACTAAAGCTTTGCTACGTGATAATGTCCTCATATTTCCAAGTGTTTTCTTTGCCTGAGCTCCAGATGGGAAAACACAAATACCATGTCACAGCAACACTGGAAAAAGTTAATTTACTGAACTCGTAAAAGAATGGTTCTCTTGTATTCAGTTCTCACTGCGCCAAAGGAAGAAGGAGCATCTGGCAAATTTTTGGAGTATTTTGGAGCTGCAGTTAGGAACAGAGCTGAGCTATGTCAAAGAAAAAAATTATGTTACATCTTAAAATGTATTTGATTCACTATTTTTTTTTTTTTTGACAGGCAGAGTGGACAGTGAGAGAGAGAGACAGAGAGAAAGGTCTTCCTTTTTGCCGTTGGTTCACCCTCCAATGGCCGCCGCGGCTGGCACGCTGCGGCCGGCGCACCACGCTGATCCGATGGCAGGAGCCAGGAGCCAGGTGCTTCTCCTGGTCTCCCATGGGGTGCAGGGCCCAAGCACCTGGGCCATCCTCCACTGCACTCCCTGGCCACAGCAGAGAGCTGGCCTGGAAGAGGGGCAACCGGGACAGAATCCGGCGCCCCAACCGGGACTAGAACCCGGTGTGCCGGCGCCGCTAGGCGGAGGATTAGCCTAGTGAGCCGCGGCGCCGGCCTTGATTCACTATTTATCACTATTTCTGCTATTTAAATAGATAGCCAAAAGAGATATCTACTAATAAATAAGTCATTTAAGACTGAATGCAACACTTGAGCGAATTGTGATTATCAATCATTGTTCTAGTATATCTCCTATGATGATATGCTCAGAGGTTGGCATTCTGACCCCAAACTGACAGGAGGTCTTTGGTCCTGTGTACTTCTTAAGCCACCTCTCCTCTACCCCACCCCGGCAGCTATCACTCCCCTCTGCTCTTTTGGGTCTTCTCAACCTCCAATACCTGCTATCCTAAACCTCACTTGCTTAATGAAAACAAGTAATTAGTGCAAAAGAGAGAAGCAATGCCTGAGAGCCAGGAGCCAGGCGGTGGTGCTGAAATCGCAGCAGACAAGGCTGCTGCACCACTGGGCTGGCCCAAGACAAAACAAGACCTCCCCCGAATCAGGCCTGATCCCAGACAGAAGCAAGCACTGCCCAAGTGCCTCAGAACCATCCCCCTATGCTAGCTAAAATGAAGGAATTTTCCCCAACTTCAGTGTGATATTCATTAGAGCACTCAATCTTAAAATTATCTGTGCTTCCTGACTGCATCCAAACCAGAGCTTCCTTGAATCTTTCTAAAATCACCTAACACAAGCTCAAACTCTGTGAAAAACCTCACCTCCATTCTCTTCCTGACTTCTCTTGGTTTCTCATGGCCTGTGGTCTCCCTCACTGAAATGAATCAGGTAACTGTTGATCAACCATCGGTGCTGTCCTGTGGACGCTAGAGGGCACGAGCACTAGTCTTCTTAAATGAGTGCCCTTAGTTTAATCTCATTTTCAAATAATGCCTTTGGGTGAGAGCCTACGAACAGACATGCACTGCTGTGATGAGGTCAGGTCAGTATTTCTAACAACTATTTTTTAGCCAGGAGTGCATTTGTTTTGCTTTCAAAGCTGCTTTGTTGATGGTAGGAATCATTGGAAGAGAGAACTCAAATAACTGAGACATCAAATATAAATACTGATTACTTCCCAGATCATAATTTGTTCTATATAATTAAAAACCTTGCATAAACTAGATAACTGGATACATATGTGACATGGTTATGTTGTATGTAGTTTAAAAATGTACCCATTTAAAAAAGAGTGTATTGACATTTTTTCTGCACTGTATCCTATGCACAATACCTTGTCCCCTTTGATTGACAGGCCTTGTAATCCAGGTGGGCCGATTGGTCCTTCAGAACCCTTTTCACCCTGAAAGTGAAACATGGGAGGAACATCAGTCCAACAATAACAATCAGGATTTTAAAAGAGTTTACCTTATACTTCATATGAATTATGCTGCAAGCTGATTTTGTAAATCAAACATCTAAATTCTCTGCTCACTACAAACGGGTAATTCTAATGAACTCTAATATTTGCAACTTGCAAAAAAAAATTTGTCCTAATCCTTAAACAGGAAGGAGTCTGTCCACACAAACACACATGCAGCATTGCAGAAGGTAGAAAGGCGCTCAATCCCTGATCTCCACAGAAATTTCTGGAGGGGGAAGAACTCAACATCACATAGTACTACCAACTGGATAAAGCCTCCTTTTCCTTAATATTGCTGAAAATGAATCCATCACACAGGAAATTTTGTCTGTCATGTAAGTATATGAACTAATATTTGCAAGGATTGGATGATTTATTAAATGTTTTATACCTAAATTTATAAAAAGTCATTAAAAATTAGGTTTAAAGAATTCATGGGAAATATTCTTGGCTATGCTTCTGTGTTCACATGACCTAGGTGAATTGTTCTGGTCTTAAAGTAATATCAGTGAAACTGTATCACTTTGTGCCTTGGTAATGAAAAATAAGCCATGTAACTAGTCAGAAATGGCATTCATTTAATGAATTTAATGGAACCAAGAGTAAATCAAATTGCAATTGCAGGAAACCTAGGAGAACATAACTATACGGCTTTCTATATCCATAATTTTTACCACATCATGGCAAATTAGCTACATTATTGCAAATTAGCCACAAGTTACTCATATAGAAAACTCCCATATATTTGACTGATACAGGAATGAAGTCTTCTGACTAATTGGTTCTTCTGATCATTACTACATGTATTTGACCCTTAAGCAACCTAAAGATAAAGTATTATTTTTTTGGTGAGAAATAAGGCAGTGCAGAGCCCTTGGGTTGTGATAGTCAAGAGTGTTTTATTTTATAATACTTCAGATGATATAAAAGTACATTGAAGATGCCACTAAGACATGCCTGGAATATTCTTCATGGTGTTTCACACAACCATTTTTCATTGGCTTCTTTATTTTAAAAAAATCCACAGATTACAAGAGAAATAATTCTCCAGATGGCTTGGGCTGTGCATAAATGGAAATATACCATGTGACAAAAAAAAATTAAGAAATTGAAATGTACTTCCAAATTGTTGACCTCTATCTTTTGATAGTCATACTTTATGAATGGCAAGGTCATTAGTAATGTCTCCTTTATCCAACAAATTATTTCATTATTATAACAAAGTGAAATTTGTTGACAGAGGCCTCTTTTGCAATTCAACACAGCAGTCACCCATAACTTAGTCCGAATGATTTGTTTTCAGCAAATTGCTGGCCCTCTAGTTGAGATTTGGGTTTCTCATAGTAATTGAATATTGATCGTAGCAGGAGATGCTGTGGACAAGATGCAGTTTGAGAGCAGGAGGCCACAGTGGGACAGCCAGGTCCTAGTGACCTCATGGAAGGACGATGTGGATGGTCTTGACCACTTCACAGCAGCACGTGATTGGGCAAGGCATGTGCGCATGCTCACAGGAGGTGCTTGGGAGACAGATTTTAGAAATGAAGAAACAACGCCAAAACCTACCTTTACTCGCTCTGGAATTCTGTTGATGCTGCCCAGAGATTTTTTGGAAAACTATTTCCTATGTGGCCTTTAGCAAATGTGCCAGACACTCTGAGTAAACTGCCTAGACCAGGGGACAGCAAATGCTGACCCACTGGCCAAATCCAGCCCACTGCTGTTTTCTGAAAACTTGATTTTATTGGAACAACCACACTCATTCATCTGTCCATTGTCTGCAGCTGCTTGCCAGCTACCTCAGCAGAGTTAAGCAGTTGCTACGGATACCAAATGACTCACTAAGGCTAAAACATGTGCTCTCTGGCCCTTGGCAGGGAAAAGGTGCCAACCTCTGGTATAGAGGAAACAGCTCTGAGAATCAAGCAGTAGAAGAGTTCAAATTTCCATCTTCCAGGTGGAAGGCAGGTCTTTCATACCTTGTGTTCTGATGGTAAAATTTCCTTTCTTATTACATTGGTGGCAGTACGATTACAAAATAGTTTGTTAGATTAAGTATCTTGTCTCTGTTTCACAAAACAAAACTATGAGGAAAGTCTTTCCATAGCTACACTCCATAGCTTAACTTTCGGGAATACACCTACTGTAGCCTTGATGACTACACACTGAAAGATTTTCCTAATGTTACATATGGAATTTGCATGATGTTGAATTTCATCAATTACTTATTTATAATCACAAATTTCATTGTACTTTCATGGTAAGGGCAATGTGTGCTCCCCTTCATTTCCTAGGGTGAGGACAGGCAGGAAAGCACTCGGCTTTAGTAACTGGCCAGGACAAATGTGTTAGATTTTGAATTCATGAGCATGTGAGGCAAAGACGCTTTTCCTGCTACAGAAGGTAGTGTTTGTTACCTTTGGTCCTGGAAATCCTTCTCCAGGTAAGCCCCTCTCTCCTGGAGCTCCCTCAGGACCTCGGGGACCCTGCGTGGGAGAAGAGGAAAGAGAAATAGGCAGAGAAAGACAGAATGGGATGAGAAGAGATGGGGAGGGAGGGGGGAAGAGAGAGGATGGTTACACATCAGTTCGCATGGACATGACAATGCACTCATCCTTTTTAAATGTTGAAAATTTTTCTAGTAGGCTCCATACTGATCAATAAACTGTAGAGTTGTAACAAATAATATGCCCACTGCATGAAATACTCATTCCATTTGACTGCATAAGGCCCTTTAGAATTCTGAAATGAAAGGAAATGGAAGATAAAGCCAGGCTTTAGATAAGAACCAGGAGTTAATCCTCTGAGGAAAAGCTGAAGACCCAGAGTGCCTGGGGGAGGATGCAGAAGGACGCCATAACTTAACAAAATATCAGGGGAGTCCCGTGAAGCCATGACTGCATGGCTGCTGCAAAGCAATGAGTACTTCTCACATGCGTTTTAACTTCTGACCTGATAAATTTGGTTTGTAATTTGCATTATTTCTGGAATGGGTTGAACCCACTGACAGTTTTATGTGCAAATTGGATCTCTTGATAGGATCATTAAGGAGAACCATGGTTTTCTCTTTCAATTAAAATTCAGAGGTCCATGTAATACTCCTCAGAAAGCACTAGGAAAGGAGAGAACTTCTCACAGAGAAAACCAACACAGCCCCAGGCTTTGAAGCGAACTAGTAAGAAACATACCAGCTGGAAAAACCAAAGTCCAGAGCCAGATTTTTACAGAAGCTGGGCATTTTCAAAGGCTGCACATTTTCCTTCTTTATGTCCCCTCCCCCTACTTGGCCAGAAGACAAAAAGATAGAAAAAGAACCAGCAAAAGCAAAAATTTAAGAAGCACACCCTGGAGCTTGTACTGTAACGGACCTAAACAAATAATTTGAGTTTGCTTGCTGGGAACTTACACCTATGATGGATCAAAATCTACCACATTTCCCACAAGCTCCAAAGCCAGCACACTGCAGGCTCTGGGTGATCTTGGGCCTGGGATCCAGGGTGATCTAAAAGGTGCTCTCTGCTCAAGCCCGGTAGCAGAAGGAGGATGCAGTATTTTTCTCAACAGTAATGAAGCAGAGTTACAGATTTGTATTAAAGAAAACTACCTTTGTGTCAGTGTTTAATTTTTTTGCACTATCCTAGTATTGTATATTTTAAGAAACAGTCTTTAGTATTTATGCCTAGTCTTCTTAGCAAAGACTTTAATTACAAGAAAAAAAACCAGCTACATTTAATTCAATTTAAATTGCAATGCTTTTGGGAAATCTCACTCTTTACACTCCAAAACCTTAATCAAAGTGCTAATATCCATGACAGCTTACTCTAAAGGCAGAGCAATTCACTGGGGGAAAAATTGAAAGGAACATGAAAACTAGATTGCAAACTAAACTGAGAAGTGCCTAACCAACAACACATATTTTAGCAAGGAAAATATTAACCAACTATTCTCCTTCCCTTATGAGATGACAAATTAAAAAAAAAATCACAATTTACATTAAACATATGGAGTCAGGGCCGGCACTGTGGCATAGCAGGTAAAGCTGCTGCCTGCAATGCTGGCATCCCACATGGGCACCATTTCAAGTCCCAGCTGCCTCACTTCAGATCCAGCTCCCCGCAAATGCACCTGGGAAAGCAGTGGAAGATGGCCCACATGCTTGGGCCCCTGCATATATATGGGAGACCCAGATGGAGCTCCTGGCTCCTGGCTTCTTCCTGGCCCAGCCCTGGCTGTTGCGGTCATTTGTGGAGTGAACCAGTGGATGGAAGATCTCTCTAAATAAAATAAATCTTTTTTTTTTAAAGGGAGTCTTTCTTGAGTCCATATGTTTCATTACTCAACAACTGCTTATCAAACGTCTAGGAGGCAAAGCCACAGACAGACCTGCTGCTTGTATCATGAAGATTACAGTCTCACATGAAAGTGAAAAGCAGATCTTGGTGTCATTCAGACCCAAGTTCAAGTCTAGACTCTGCCACATCTTAGCAGTGTGACCTTAAATAGACGTTCCATTTCTCACAGCCCAGCATCAAACACAAATGGTTAACACAAATGTCACTGTCAGTGTAAGGTTGGCATCACTCAGATCCAAAGCTCTTACCTATGGAGCACTTGGTAATCCTCTGCTAATACTGTCAAAATTACTTGAGCCCCACAATTGTTAAGAACGTCATTTGAAGCAAGTTTATATGAATAAGGCAATCTCAGCGAGAATGGCTTAAACTCAGCGATGCAGAGAGAGGCTTGTTCCACACAATAAACACCACATCTCCCTTCCTCGTCTGCATCTCTCGGATGGATCAGCGCGGGTGAGGAGCAAATGTTGGAGGCGCTCAGGAATCGTGTATTTGAAGCTGCTGAGAGTATTTAATCCTCGCAGACACTCAGAGGAGTTTAAAAATCAGTAGTCCAAGGTCAAATTACTGCGAACTGTCAAAATAACATTCCACACCAGGTCTTCCAGTTAAACAGCATGGAAGGCGATTATTACCAGAAGAAAAATAGCATACACTTGTGTTAGGTGAACTATACTTTGAATTCATTAGGCAGTACCAAGGGATCGTTTTTAAAAGACAGAAATGCTTCTATAAAAACACTCAGTGCTGGGGCCAGCGCTGTGGTGTAGCTGGTAAAGTCACCACCTGTGGTGCCGGCATCTCAAAGGGGCACCATTTCACTTCCCAGCTAGCTCCCTGCTAATGTCTTCTGAAAAGCAGCAGAGAATGTGCAAGTCCCTGGGCCCTGAACCCACATGGGAGACAGAAGAAGCTCCTGGTTCCAGGCTTTGGACAGGCCCAGCTCTGGCTGTTGTGGCCATTTGGGAAATGAAGCAGCAGATAGAAGATTTTCTAACTCTGCCTTTCAAATAAATAAATAGATAAATAAATAATTTTTTAGGAGAAAACCCTCAGTACCCTTTTTTAAAGGCCATGAGAACCAACTACAACTTTGAATTCTTTGCCATAAAAAATTCTTTGTCATAAAAATTTCTATTTATTTGAATTCTAATAAACTCCTCTTAAAAAAAAAGACTATCAGTTAACAGTCTAATCAGTACAAAACCTCATTTGAGAAATTAACAATTAGATAAAATGTAATTTCCCATATTTATCTTTTTTTTTTTTTTTTTTTTTTGACAGGCAGAGTTGGACAGTGAGAGAGAGAGAGAGACAGAGGAAGGTCTTCCTTTCTGTTGGTTCAACCTCCTAATGGCTGTTAAGGCTGCCGCGCTGCGCCGATCCGAAGCCAGGAGCCAGGTGCTTCTCCTGGACTCCCATGGGGTGCAGGGCCCAAGCACTTGGGCCATCCTCCACTGCACTCCCTGGCCTCAGCAGAGAGCTGGCCTGGAAGAGGGGCAACTGGGACAGAATTCGGCGCCCCGACCGGGACTAGAACCCGTGTGCCGGCGCCGCAGGCGGAGAGGCTTAGCCTAGTGAGCCGCGGCACCGGCCCTTATTTTCTTAATCTCATTAATGTTAGTAATCCATAAAAGTAGTTTCATTATACATTGTAAGCATTAAGATAAAAATGTGAAAAAAAGGAGAAATTGTCCTTTGTTACCAGTGTCATCTATTTTAACACCAAAGTAATTTTAGTTCTACTTTAGGGGTATTTTTTCCTACTGAGAGTGCCCTCAATAACCTTGCACACACACAAAAATAGATTACCTTCAGGGTCGTAATTTATTTTTCATGAAACAGTTATATCTACCAGATCTACCAAAACTGAGGTAAGATGATATCTGACAGTTCAAAGTTAGGTTTTAGAGCTGGATTATTAATTCAACTTATTAGCAGACTTATATTAGCACAATATTGGGGGAAAAACTGGCACTAAATGTGAAATCACTTTAATTGACTCAGGCAAAGAAAGAAAATAGGGGACTGCATGACACTTAGCAGCAACATTTGGACACATTATTTGAAATCTTTGTCATCTTTTGTTATGATTTTCATTTCCAATTAAATCCTAAAACTTCATAGCATCACTTTGAGAGTGTGGCTTGAAAAGAAAGCAAACAAACAAGAATTTCATATGCTGTCAATATTGTGAAAATTCTCTAGTTACAAACAATTAAGAAAGAAAATATAAAATTTGCCTTAAAATAAACTGTAGGGGCTGGTATTGTAGCATAGAGGTAAACCTATCACCTGCGGAGCTGCCATCCACTATGGTTGCTGGTTCCAAACCCAGATGCTCCACTTCCAATTCAGCTCCCTGCTAATGTGCCTGGGAAGGCAGCAGAAGGTGGCCAAGTGCTTGAGTCCCTGCACATGCATGGGAGACCCAGGCAGAGTTCCTGGCTCCTGGCTTCGTCCTTGACCAGCCCCAGCCATTGCCATCATTTGTGGAGTGAACCAGAGGATGGAAGATTTCTCTCTCCCTCTCTCTCTCTCTTTCCCTCTCTCTCTCTACCACCCTCCCTCCCTCCCCATCTCTCCCTTTCTTTCTAACTCTACCTTCAAATACATTTTTTAAATTATAAAATAAAATAAAAATAAATTGTATAAGTGTAACTAAGCCCAAAGACAGCATAGCAAATCACAGGGTGCAAAAAGAAGAGCTGAAAACTTAAGTGTCCTGGGTAGAAAAATGTGTTTGTGTGCTGGAAAGACATGTAGGAAATCCAAGGGATAGACAGTAGCAGACAATTTGGCTCACCCAGTGGAACATGAGAATTAGAGCCGAGATTCCCACAAAAAGCTAGGCACTTCACAGTTACATACACTGAGAAGGCAGAGTAGGAAAAAGCCACCTGACCAACACAACAATATGGATGACAGGAATCTTGCATGCCTTGCCGTGGGCTCTAAATCATCCTGAAAATTCCTAGCATGGCCCTGTGCTGTGAATGGGCTTGTGGCTTTGACTGCCATCACCTAGATGGTCTATGAACATCTTTAGACTTTAATATCAAGGAAATCCCTAGAGAATGTAAGAGACGCAATCCCAAATTCCTCTCAAACACCCTCCACACACAGCACTT